GCTATCATTATCACACTGGACATGGCAACTGTCCTCTCCATTCCGCCGCCTTAGACAGTCAATACTATTGATTCGGGCTCAGTGCTCCTAGAGCAGCGGTTCTTTGTTACTCTGTTTCTTTGTTACTAATGTTGTGGCCCCACCCCATAACAAAGAAACAGAATTTCCGGAGGATGAGGCCCAGAAATCAGGATTTTGAAAAGATTCCCAGGTGATTCTAATGTGCAGCCAAGGTTGAGAACCACTGTCCTAGAGGCTCCCATAGTCTCTGCTGCTGCTCAGTCAGCTTTCCAACCTGCTCCAATCTTCTGCTCTCCTCTTGAGAGTCAAAGATCCCCAACGGTGGAGCCTCAGCTGTCAGGGGCAGGGAGAAGGAGGATGTGATCCCTTCCCCTTAGGCAGTTGGAAGCAGGACCTGCGTTATAGCTAATAGGAGGGGGATTCTGATGATAGGCAGACAAAAGTAAAAAACACTAGGATTCTAATATAATCACTCTGTATAAATAAACATAATAGCCTCATATAAATGAGTGTAGTTGATATGAGCATGGTGAACTTAGAAAAAGGGATAGAGCCCTAGCTGGTTTGGCTCAGTGGATAGAGCAGGGGTGGGCAAACTTTTTGACTAGAGGGCCACAATGGGTTCTTAAACTGGACCGGAGGGCCGGAACAAAAGCATGGATGGAGTGTTTGTGCGAACTAATATAAATTCAAAGTAAACGTCATTACATAAAAGGGCACGGGCTTTTTTTTTTTTTTTTTTTTTTTTTTTTTATTCATTTCAAATGGGCCGAATCCAGCCCGCGGGCCGTAGTTTGCCCACAGCTGGGATAGAGCATGGCTTGCAGACTGGAGGGTCCTGAGTTCAATTTTGGTCAAGGGCACGTGCCCAGGTTGCAGGCTCGGTCCCCAGTAGGGGGCATGCAGGAGGCAGCCAATCAATGATTCTTTTTCATCATTGATGTTTCTATCTCTCTCTCACTCTCCCTTCCTCTCTGAAATCAGTAAAAATATATTTTAAAAATAAGGGATAGACGTTAAATGGCAGCTTGTTAACACTGATTATGTCAGGAGATTAGGTGGGAAATTAGAGAGATGGGTAAGATCATAATGTTTTTCTTTATGTATCTTTGAGTTCTTTGGGGGTTGGTGTTGACTTTTATTTTATAATTTTTGAATGCATCTTACTCACAGCTCTTTTAAAAGTAGTTTAGAACTAGATTATGAAGAGCCACTAAGGATTTCTGAGCAAGGGAATGATGTGATCAAGAAAATTAAGCTGGCAAGAGTATGTATAATGGATTAGAGGCAAGAGAGGTTGTAGATATGCAGAACAATTAGAAGATTCTTATAGCAGCAGTTCAGTTAGAAGCTAATAAAGAATTTAAGTATGGCAGTAATAATATGTGAAGTGAGGAAGAGGAGAGGGGACCGGGATAGAGCCTTGGGACAAAGAGCCTGAATGGTGAGAGGAGTGGTCATTGGAGAAGGAGCGGTTCTATTATACTTTGTCAATCAGCACATCTTACACTTTGAAAATGTGAATAAATGGCTGGAAACCCACTGACATTTCTCTTCTCCAACTTCCTTGAGCATTTGCTTATTTGATATTTACAATATAGAGACTCAAAATAATATTTTATGAGATTTGCATTATTTCCTGTATTAAATTGAAAACATCTTGCCCTGGCCAGTGTTGCTCAGTGGTAAACTGTGGACCTGTTCCCCGAGGGATCACAGGTTTGATTCCTGGTCAAGGGCTTGTACCTAGGTTTCAGATCTGATCCTTGGTCAGGGTGCATAGGGGAAGCATCCAGTGAGTGTTTCTCTCTCATGCTCTCCCCCTCCCTCTCTTCCACTCTCTCTAAAAATCAGTGGAGAAAATATCCTGGGGTTAGGATTTTAAAAAATTTGAAAACATTTTAGGCTGTGAAACCATAATGAATAGTTACTTACTGATGGCCCCCAAAAGTGGAGTGAACCCCGAAAGTTATTCATTCACTCAGCACAGTTGATAGTATATATGAAAGCTGTTGTCTTCCTTAATTCCTTGAAGGAATAGCCCCAGACCCTGACCCCTCCAAGTTACCATCTAGTGAAGGGGATAGACCCTGTACAACAAGCATGTCAAACTCACGGCCCACGGGCCACATGCCTCGTTCATTTGGCCCGTGTTAGCCTTTGAGTTTGACATGCTTGCTGTACAAGAACCCCCAGTGCGGTAAGTGCTCTGAGAGAGGGATACAGGAGCCCTGACCCAGTACCAGGTAGCAAGGTGCAGGGGAGTGGTGTGTAAGCTGAGTCCTGAAGAAATAGCCGCGGTGAGCTGGGTGAAGAGGACAGATGGTCATCCCAGACAGAAGGGCCTGGGGTGGGACGTAGCGTGTCCATTTGGGTAAGGAAAGGCAGGAGCTCAGGGTGACGGGGAGTAGGAGGCAGACAAAGGCAGCAAAGCCAGCCAAGGCAAATCAAGCCTCTGAGTCTGCCAGCCAGGGGCTCAACTTGATCCTAAGAGCAGTGAGAACCCAGAGGCTGTCCAGCAGAAGAGGACATGGTCTGGTGTGCTTTCTGAAAAGATCACTTAGGCTTCGGCAGAAAGCACAGAGAAACAACAGGAGGATGCTCTTTGGTCAGTTTTCCCCCCAGCCAGGCTGGGAGCTGCCCAGGGGCTGAGTTGAGCGCATCCCATTGCTACCTTTCTCCTCCCCTGGGCAGGTCCTCTTCCCTCGGAGCAAGGCCTGAGCTGGTTAGTGGAGGTGGGTAACTGGCCTCGGACACTCCCCCCATCAGGTGAGTAAAAGCCCAGCAACCTTCCCCAGAGTGATGGGTTGGGGATGCTAGGGATCTGAAGAAAAGAAGGGACAAGAATATGGATGAGAGGGGCGTGAGGCAAGGCCGATTTCCTCTCTCTGCGCTCCAATTTCTGTATAAAACAGGGCATTCATGGTACTTACCTCGAAGAGTTGCTGTGAGGACATAATTCATACACAGTTTTAGTATCTGGCACAAAGCAAACGCTGGGAAAGTGTTCATTTTTGTCTTCACTCTTCCTAAAAGACAGGTGGGACCTGTGGGCACGGATATGTATTCCCTGCTGTCCCAGCGCCCCATGGAAGGTTTGCGAGCCCCTGGCCATGCAGGTCTCAGCACCCCCAAAAAGACCGGAGTTGGACAACGTGTTAGTGCGAGTTTGGGCCGAAGTTGCTAGTGTATATGTGATGCTATTCTTTTGATTTAAATCTTAAAACAGAAGCCCAGGAGAGAAAAAGGGGCTGCCCGCTGCCCTCCTGCAACACCGCGGTCCTGTGCCAGGCCTCCGGCAGTGGCCC